AATATATCTTCTTGTCTGCAAAAAGAGAACAGTAACAATACAAATGGGTTGGTGTGAGGGTTAAATAGGGTCATTAAATGTCAAGTGGGGGGAACCAGCAGTTAGTGTAATGGCTATGTCGCTGGACTCCCACGTAGTCAGTCGACTGTGGTTCGCATCCCGGACCCGGTGGCTTAAAACTCACGCCAGGCGTGTGTGCGTGCATGCCCAAGATCCCGAGAGGAGAATGGAGGAGAAGGGATTGCGACGTGACCATCCCCCCTGGGGGGTGATTTCTCGCTTTCTGTCTCTATGTCTCTCTCTGTCTGTCTGGCAAGCGCATGCACCCTATAGTGAAAACCTCTCAAAAAAAAAAAATGTCAAGTGGGAACCAGATAAGGCTATTGGGCTGTGAGCCATCCTTTGGTTACCCTTATCACCCATATTTTCATTTAAGAACATGATATGTTTTTTAAAGTGATTAATAATGCCTTTTATGTCTCTGTTTTAGCCTATAACTGCATTGGTAGCAGAAATATCTGACATTGGATGATACATGAAGAATTAGAGGTTTATTGACTCAGTTCTGATAACTGGAAAATTCGAAGGTGTAGGCCTGACATCAGATTGGCCTATAATATGGCTGACAGAAAAAAACAGAAGGTGGGAGACATGAGTAAAAAGAAAGTGAGCTGTGGGCAGCTCTCCTCCTTTTATAGCAACTCCGATCTTGTGAGAACTAGCCCCTTTTCCCAAGACCAGGGCTGGGATTTGAGCCATCTGGTCAGTCATGTGGGATTTGGTTCCCTTAGCCACTAAACTACGGGGTGAGCCCATGAGGAAACTATTTTTCATTATTTCTGATTTTAGTTCCTTAGATAAATGGATGTTAACAACTTAATTTTCTCTAAGTGTAGACAATATTTAATATTTCCTTAATGTAAAATATGAAGGAAGGATTAGCTCATTTCCTTATCTACTTATCCTTATTTTTGACATTCAAATGAAAAGTTTTCTATTTAGCTCTTATAAAAATCATCTATAAGCTAGCCTGTGTCAATATATGCCAAGATTCCAAAACAAGAAATGGAGAAGAAGGAATTGTGTTGTGGCCATTCCCCATGGAAAGTGCTTCCTTCTGCCCCCTCTTTTTCTGCCTCCCTGTCTCTCTCTGGCAAGCACACACGCTCTATAGCACATTTAAAAACAAAACAAACAAATAAAAACTACTCTTTGTCTTATAGACTTTAGATAGCATGTCTTCGTGCCTGCACTGATAAGTGAAAATGGTACCTCAACTTTTCCTACTCTCTCTTCTCTTCAAACCCCTAATCTTTCACCCTCTGCCATGAGCATGAGTGTGAAAGTCTGCCCTATACACTGTTATATTCACTCCTCCATCAAAGGGGTTTAAATTAGTTTTTTAATTTTTTTGAGGGGGGGAGGCTAAGACAGTTTTTAATTTTCTTCTTAAAATTGACCTGCTTGAAAGCAGAATCTTTTTCCCATCTCCTTTTCCTTTTTCTAATTTTTTTTTAATTGTCAGAGGGCATATACAAAACAGAGATGAAGAAAGAAAGCACCTGCCAATGGGACAGGGTCATGCTGCAATCATTTTCCTCCAATTCTCCATGCAATAAGGATTTTGGGCACACATGCATACACACCTGGTGTGTTTTTCAAACTACCTAGACCAGGATTTGAACCATAGTCAGCTATGTGTGACCTGGCTCATGAAGCACTTTGCTTAACTATTACACCTTGGGACTACCCCCTCCCCCTTCTCCCTTTTCACAATCACCTTCTTCTACTTGACAAAAGAAAGGCAGCAAATTCAGCTTCCAGCCCCCAGTCTCAAGTGAAGAGGCAAGGGGGCAGGCCTTCAGAAGAAGACTCCTCCATTGTTGCTGAGAACTAGTGATTTCAGGGACTAAGAAAAATGAAGATTTTTTACTGATAATTCAGCCTCCAGCACCCCCAGTCTCAAGTGGTAGTGTGCCCCTCTATCTTTCCTCTGTCTTCTCCATTTTTTGTAATTTTTCCTTTAAAAAAATTTTTAAGGTAAAGTATTCTCTCGACTTTCAGATCATCCTTTATAATCCCCTTTTCCTCTCCTCTCTAGAAGAGGCAAGGGGCAGGCCTTCAGAAGAAGACTTCTCCATTACTGCTGAGAATTAGGGATTTTGTGTAGTGTGCACCACACAATTTTTTTTTTTTTTGCTTTTTTGAAAAAAAAATTTCTTTGGTTGTTTTTTCTTTTTTCTCTTTCTCTCTCTTTCTTCTTTTTTAAATCTCTCTTTCTGTTTTATTCTTTTTCTTTTCCCTCATCACTTTGCTGCTCAATCTCCATTCATTGAGTGTCTAGATGGATCTAAGAGAACCATAGCCAAACATCCAAATACTATTAGGGTTAACATATTCCTCAATACCCACTGAATCTGCTGCACTAAAAGATAAAAACGGAATGCCAAAGAGATTGCAGATCACCTCCTCCTGCACACCTCTGAACGCTCAGATTGAACTTCTAGAAATTAGGAAGAAGTATATAACCCCTTAGGTAACTAGAAATCACCACAAAGGCACAAGAGAAACCAAGATAATACCTCCCCCCCACCCCCTGCAAGGGAAAAGAATAACTCCTCTTCATCCACAGACAGTTCAATGGAAATCATGGCAATACCTGATAAAGAATTTAGAATATTCATGGTGATGAAGTTAACATAGATGCAAGATAAGAGGGACAATGAATTCCAAAAGAGGGAGTAGAATAGAGCCGAAAAGTTCCAGGATGTGAGGAAGTTCTTGCACAATCTGAAAGAGGAAATACAATAAAAAAGAATCAAAAGAATTGTAAGAGATGAAGGCTGTAATACAGGAAGTCAAAACCTCCCTTTAAAGCAGACTAGATCATACAGAAGATCGAATCTCAGATATAGAAAACAGAATTGCTGGCCTAAAAACATCCACCAAAAAAATCCTGAGAATATAGTCCAAAAAATGAGAATAATATATGAGAAATACTAGTTACCATCAAACATCCAAACATCTGGATAAATGGTATCCCAGAAGGTGAAGAAACTAATAAGGGCATTAATAATCTTTTCCATGAAATCCTGGAAGAAAACTTTCCAAACCTAGAGAGGCATTAAAGATCCAGACCCATGAAATACATAGGACCCCAAATAGAATCAACCCCAGAAGATCTTCTCCAAGACACATTATAGCCAGATTGACCAAAACCACAAAGACAAGGTACTCAGACTGGCAATAGAGAAACAACAAGTTACCTACAAAGAATATCCCATCAGGCTAACAGTGGACCTCTCATTGGAAACAATGCGATCAAGGAAAGAATGGGAAAATATATTCAGTGTTGAGTGAAAAACAATTTCAACCAAGAATACTATACCCAGCAAGATTATCCTTCATATGGGAAGAGAAGACAATAACATTCTCAGATAAACAAAAACTGAAAGAATTTACTGACACCAGAACAGTTCTCCAAGAAATTCTGAAAGGAGTACTATACCAAGAAAACTAGTGAGAGACAGACAGCAATAAGAGAACAAAAAACAACCATGGATATGGCCAACTATGCTTTGTAGTCCAGAGATAAGAATTTTTTTCTTCTCTTGAATTGTCGACCGATCCAGGTAACTACTATTTGAACAGAATCCTAACCTGCTTCCTGGCTTTAAGTCTTAAGCAAAATTCTCTTAACATTTTTTGATTCTGATTTATTAAAGCTAAAACTGTCTTTCTGTAAATAAAAAAAATCTTTAAAAATATCTTTTTAATGACCACAGTAAGCTATATAGCCTCAATTAGGTGCTATTTTATAGTTATATTCATTCTACTCAGTTTCATGCCTAAAGTCAAACATTTGTTCACAGATAACTTGCTATTGAAAGTAATTAGATCAATTAAGATATTTTGTTATCAAATAAAAATGGGGAGAAAAAAAGGAATAAAAAGCAACTGCAGATACCATAGAGAGAGTGGGAGAAGGGTGGGATATGACAGAGGGTGAGAAATGGGGGAAGTATACACACACATATACATGTATCAGAAATATACATATGTGTGTGTGTATCAGAAACAAGAAATAGGAAAATTATTTGTTATGATAACATGTATGACTAAGCCACTATACAGTGTATTCCGGATGGGAAACTGCATCTTGTATGCTGTGATGATGTTTAGTGAATAAAATCAAAATAAATAATTAAAGAAAACAGTGAAAAAAATAAATAAGCAGAATCTCAAAAAAAACTCAATAAAGACAAATTTTCTGTAAAAAAAAAGGCAGCTGTCACTCATGAAGATCCTGTGCTATTATCACCCTGAGTGGACAGAAGCATCCAAAGCACTATTTGAAATTATGACATTTTGAGTTGAGAATGTCAATGACTGTAGCAGCTGGTAACAAATTGTTTTGCAAGTGGTCAACCATGGTATGAGTCCTGGACCCAGCAGCTTGAAACTCATGGTAGGCGTATGTGTGTGGTGCCCAAAATCCTGAGAGGAGAATGGGAGGAGACAGGATTGCAGCATGGCCATCCCCCTGTGGAGTGATTTCTCACTTTCTGTCTTTCTGGGAAGTGTACATGCCCTATAGCAAAAATCTCTCTAACAACAAAAAAAGGAAAATAAAATAAAATAAAATCCTGTTGGGTGTGTGTGTGTGTGTGTGTGCCCAGAGTCCTGAGAACAAGAGTGGAGAAGTGATTGCAGTGAGGCCTCCCCCCCACCACCACCATCTCACAGTGATTTCTCACTTTCCTTCTCAATGTTTCTTTTAACTCTCTCCAGCCAGCACACGTGCCCTATGGCAAAAATTTAAAAAAAAAAAAAAAAGAAGAAGAAGAAGAAGATAAAAGAAAAGTTACCCTGTGAATTTTGGCCTATAAGTTTTGTTTGAGGGAATTAAGGGTCACAGCTACTAAAATGCAGAAACACACAATACCTTCCATTCTCAGGTTTATTTCTGTGAACAAGGTTTATTATTATAAAAGGAAAACTATAAATAGAATGACGCTGTATCTCATCTTATACATAATAATTAGTTACCAAGATTTGAGATATTTGTTACTTTGCTGAATTGTGAAATGTTACTTTTCAGAATAATAAGCCTTTCAAAAAGTTTTTTTTTATATTGTCAGTTATTTAATTATGTTCTTTGTAAGAAATTTAGAGCAGTAATTGGTGAGGATAAACTCCATTTGTAAGCGCAAACATGGGTCATAGGTAGCCCTGGAGCTGAGGAACAGCTTTGATTTTCGGCAAAATCTGCAAGTTCACAGCTTCTGATCAACCATGCACTACTCTGTAATCTTGTATTTTTCCTTCTCAGTGTTGAAGATTTCACCTTCCTGGTGTCTGAACTTTTGCAACTTCTTTTTCTTGAAGTAACCATCAGTGAGGTATTTTGGAATTTTTACTTTGCTATCAACTTTCGTAAAAGTGGTGATGACAAATTTCTGATGTGTTGTATGTAGTGGAATTCTATTGAGGACCAGAGGTCCAGCCACAAGTAGAAAGCCACTGTTCAGTTGCTTCAGGTAAACCACTCTCTGGCCTCTGTGGTGTCCAGTGAGGATGATCAAAATGGTCCCAGGAGTGAGTCTGGCTCACAGCTTTCTCACATGCTGACTGAAAATTTTTCTGCCATGGTTCAACAGCTTTCAAGGCTCATCTTCAGTAGGATAATACCTAGGCATTTTGTGAGATTTAACCACCATTCTTGTCAACTGGTTTTGTGTCAGTGGCAAGAATCTTCTCCTTTTTCTTTTCAATTCTGGGATTTAGTGGCCAAGTTTCTCCTTTTGTATATGGTCTTCCTGGAACATATGGCAGAGTATCTGCTGGTTCCTTAGATTAGGACTGGATTTCAGCTGCAAAACGACTTCCCTTCTTGGGCTTTTTTAGCCTGGGGAAAGGGTCACCCTTTTTAATGTTGCTGCAGGCATCAGCCTTCTTGGCTTCAGGCTTGCTCTTCTAAATATCCAACTTCTCAGCTTTTCCACATGCCATCTTATAATAGGAGAGAGAACTCTTGAAAATAAAATTTTTTTTGAGAGGTTTTTGCCATAGGGTGCATGCACTTGCCAGACAGACAGAAAGAGACAGACAGAAAGCAAGAAATCACTCCTCAGGGGGGATGGCCATGCCGCAGTCCCTTCTCCATTCTCCTCTCGGGATCTTGGGCACGCACGCACACACGCCCGGCGTGAATTTTAAGCCACCAGGTCTGGGATGTGAACCGCGGTCGACTACGTGGGAGTCCAGCGACATAGCCATTACGCTAACTGCTGGTCCCAAAAATAAATTTTAAAGAGCCTTAGAGTTTCAGAAATGTCTTTCTTTCATTCTTTTTCTAAAACAGGCTCTTGCATTTGAGATCTTCAGGTTTCAATCTCCCAGCAGGGAATACAGATATGCTCCCATGCTAAGCTCTTTTTAATTTTTAGTCATGGTCTTGCTACAGGCCAGTCTCAATCTCTCAATTCTCCTGCCTCAGTCTTCCTGAGTTGCTGAAATTAGAGGCCTACACCATTGCACCAGTCTTTAGGTTGGATAGGGAATGAAACCTAGGTTCCCATGTGGTCCCTGCTTGCAGTGCACAATTTCTTAGCAGTGTGTGCCACTGTGACTGGGTTCCAGAAAACATTTTTTATTAAACTTAAATGTATATCCATAGGCTTTATACAGTCAGCTCTATAGCCTAGTGGTTAAGAGAGCTGGCTCCTACTTGGTCAATTATGGCTCAAATCCCCACTGGATGGCTTGAAAAACATGCCAGGCACACGTAAATGTGTGTACATGCCCAGAATCCTGACGGGATAGAGAAATGGAGAAGGGATTGCATTGAAAGGTACTTTCTTCTTGTCTCTCCATTCATCTATCTCATGAGCACACATACTCTCTGGCAGTTAAAAAACAAGAGTGCTTCTCTGTCACATGCATGGGTGTGCATTTCTCATTAGGAATAAATGTTTAAAGTCCAATTCTGGATTTGTTTATAGTTAAATTAATACTTTCTAAAATAAAAACACTACATTGTGATGAATTTATATGATGTGAACTTGGATGGATTCAAAAAGAAAAATTAAATGTAAAAATTTTCCTGTTAAAGGACACTTAATATTATGTATCTTAAATGGATCAGGACAATACAAAATTGCTTTGGTATTTAGTAGCCATTATATACATTTTTTTTTTCATGTAGGGTGCATACTCTAGTTGGGGAGAGAAAGAAAGTGAGAAACCACCCATGCCCCCAGAAAGGATGACCGTACTGCAATCACTTCTCCTCTATTCTTCTCTTGGAATTTGGGCACACATATGCCTGCTCTGCATGATTTTCAAGTCCCCAGACCAGGGACTCAAACTGCAGAGTTGGGCATATGGGATCCAGTCATCTTAAACTCTATGCTACCTGCTGGCATGCCATTATGTATATTTTAAAGTGCAATAAAAAGTTTGATGAAAATGTTAATCATTACAATATGCCAGGAATAAAATTTTTTGCAATTACAGTTGTGTATTACTTAACAGGTATACATTGTAAAAAATGTGCTGTTAGGAGATTTTTCATTGTGGGAAGGAACATCATGGTGTGTACTTACATAAATGTAGATGGTAAAACTCACCTACACGCCTAGGTCATGTGGTACAGCCATATAGGCCCGCCATTATATATGTAGTCTGTCGCTGAAATGTCATGCAGCGCATGACTGTATTTTAGATCTCTCCTTGAAATATGGAACAGAAAAATTTAAAAATTCTTTCCAGTGATATAGTATCAAAAAGTTTGATGACCACTACTTAAAAAAAAAGGGTTTTTGTTTCTTTGTTTTTAAAGTAGGGAAGATGAGACTGCAGGTAGTCAACTGGAACAGATCTTCAAGTTTTCTTTCCCATTTTTCCATTCTTCTTGGTTCTCCAACTCTGACTGGGGCGCCTCTGAGAAGGTTGACTGCCCTCCGTACCTTCTTCTGCTATAAACTTTGCCTGGGCAGAAAGGCAGATTTATAGTGAGGCTGTTTGAAGGTTGTGCTTCAGGCTTCAGGCATCCTCCCAGTTATGGAACCTGAGAGTTGTAGGGTATTATACACCTGGAGGGAAAACCAGGGTGCAGTAAGAAACCCTTGCATTCTAACAGTGCTGGGTAATTGCCAATGGAGACCTCAAAGCACTTATAAAATCTATGTATAAATAAGCTTACCAGGTTGCAGAATGCAACAATACACAAAAATCAATGATATTTCTATATACTAGCATTAAACAAAAATACCAAAATTCAAAATAGTATTTACAGTGATGTAAAAAAATATTGATATTTAGGGATACAACTGAAAAAAGTTGTGCAAGACCTTTGCAGTAAAAACTACAAAACGCCACTGAGAGAAATTAAAGATCTAAATAATGAAGAAATATACTGCTAGAGAATTGGGAGATTAGATATTGTTAAAATGTCAATTCTCTTTAGAGTCTCTGGAGGACATGAAGCCCTGCTGGCACCTTAATTTCAGTACAGTGAAACTGATGTTGAATGTCTGGCTTCTATAACTCTAAGAAAATTAACTTCTGTTGTTTTAAGCCACTAAGTTTGTGGTGATTTGTTACACCAGCTACAGGAAATGAATATACTAAGACACAAAAAGCATAGGCTATAAAAATATATATATTAGACATTGCAGAAACTGAAAACTTTGCTCTTCCAAAGATACTTTTATGAAAAAAAAAAAAAAAGGCAAACCATAAACCAGGAGTAAATATTTCCACACATACATGACAAAGATTTGTATTTAGAATTAGCAAAGAACTCTTAGGACCAAACAGGAAGACAAACCCAATTAAAAAGACAGGCAAGGGACCAGCAGTTAGCATAATGGCTATGTCGTTGGACTCCCACTTTCGACCGCTATTCAAGTCCTGGACCTGGTGGCTTAGACTCACGTGGGGCGCATGGGTGTGCATGCCCAGGATTCTGAGAGGAGAATGGAGGAGAAGGGATTGCGGCATGGCCATCCTCTCTGGGGTCTGTCTGGCCAGCGCACATGCCCTATAGAAAAAAAAAAGACAGGCAAAGGATTTGAACATTTTACTAAAGAATATATACAAATAAGTACATGAAAAAATGTCAACAACAAGGAAATGCAAATTAAAATCATGATGAGATTAAATGTACACACCCATTAGAATGGCTTAAATTAAAAACTGATTGGACCAAGTGTTGCCCAGGATGTGGACCAAATGGGACTCTCATGTACTGCCGATGGGGATATAAAATGGTACAAAGATTTTGGAAAACATTATGGCAACTTCTAAAAAAAGATGGTGCATTAAGGTATGGCTATGTGATCATGGAGCCACACAGGAAGTCTAGGTATGGATCCCCAGTCAATCTGAACATGCTGGGTATATGCCCATTTATGCCTGTGATCCTGGCTGGCTGAGAAGTTGGGAGTAAGACTGTGTCATGGGCGTACTTCAGGAGGACAGCTTTCCCAGTAGAGGAACCTAAGGCACCCAGAGAGATGTAGAGGGAAGAGCTGGAGTAGGGCGGGAATCCCATGAGCTTTAACACTGAGTCTTTGTGAGAAAGCCGTTTACTGCTTGTTCAAAGTTGTACCCAGGGGAACCAGCAGTTGGCGTAATGGCTATGTCGCTGGGCTCCCATATGTCGCTGGGCTCCCATATGTCTCTGGGCTCCCATATGTTGCTGGACTCCCTTGTAGTGGACTGCCATTCAAGTCCCGACCCGGTGGTTTAAACTCATGCTGGGAGCGTGTGTGTGCATGCCCAAGATCCCGAGAGGAGAATGGAGGAGAAGGGATTGCGCATGGCCATCCTCCATTTGGGGGTGATTTCTCGCTTTCTGTCTCTCCATCTCTCTGTTTCTCTGGTGAGCGCACTTGCTATAACAAAAACCTTTCCAAAAAAAAAAAAAAAAGTTGTACCTGGGGCCATCTAGAACTCTGTTGCCCTGGTGTTTAGTAAATACTTGAATGAATGAGAATGAGAATGGGAATTGATGAACAAATGGAAGAACGAGGATCGCGTCATCCTTCTCTACGTGGAAATAAGCAAAGTCTGCACGGCCACCGCACAGTGACTTTCTCTCGGAGCTTGCTGGCGAGAGGTCGGTTTGGCTGAGACTCTAAGGGCAGCAGTGAAGCCAGTGAAGCTTCACAGTGGAGAAGGGCCGGCGCTGGGACGGCTGTTGCGAGGCTGCGGTCCTGAGAACGAAGGCAGGGCCTGCTATGTGACAGGTGATGGGGCACAATGGCGTTTTCTGGCTGGCCTGGGGTTCAAAGCAGGGCAAACTTGTTACTCTGGAAGTTCCTGGGGTCTCCTGGTACTACGGGGCTCGCGGCTCCCCACAGAGATGGCAGGCTAGCCGGGGTCAGCGCCCTCCTCTGGACACGCGGCCTACGGGCAGGTCCCGGCCGCCTCCTGTGTAGAGTGAGTTTTCCCACACAGAACGTTCTCGTGTCAGCTCAACACACAGATCACTCCGGAAGGCCGGCGCCTTTCAGGCCTCAGTTTCTCCGCCCGAAACACAAAGAGTGTGGCGTCCACCGAAGCCCGGGGGCACTCACGCACCTGTACCTCTTTCGCTCAATTCCCGTGCCTCAGTCTCCCCACCCACAGAATGGGAGGGCCAACCCCGCCTCTTAGAAAGGCGGTGTCGACGGTTGCAACCAGCGTCTGTGCGTCAGCTGGTCCCAAATCCTCGATCCTGGCCCCATTCCGCACCGCGGCTGCAATCCGGTCATCAGCCAGTGACGCAGCCCTCCAACTCTACCCGGTCGCTGTTTACCTCAGGCTGTTGTCTCTGCCCCGAGGCCCCGCCCCGCACGCACGCCCACCAGGCTCCGCCCCTGGCCCTCCCCGGCCCCGCCCTGCGCACGCGCTGCACGCGCCGCACGCGCCCCGCAAGCCCCACCCCGAGGCCAATGAGCGACTCCGCCGCGGTTACCGCAGTTGCTCCCCGCCCCCCTACCGGCGGGGCTCGGGGGCTCCGCGCAGTAAGCTGAGCCGCTGGTACTGCGTGGTCGTCCTCCTCGTCCCTGACGGTCCACCGCGCCACCCACAGTCCACGGCCCACAGCCGGCAAGAACGCGACCGCCACAGCCGCTTGCCGGCGCCATGTCTCAGAGTGGGGTCCCCGGGCTGCAGGAGGAGAACCTGCAGGGTGAGGCCGCGCGGGCAGAATCTGCTGGGGGAGACCGCGCAGGGAGAGGAGGCCCTGAGAGGCCAGACGCTTTCGTGCGTAGTCCCGGGTGAGGCGGAGGCGTGTGCTGACCAGTCGTGTGGCCACGGGCCGTTGGTCGTTGGCTGAGCGCGGCAGGACAGGTTTCGGGGTCCAGGCAAGTGTCGAGTAGGGGCTCCTCCAGGCTGGCCTGTTTCCAACTGTGAAACGGCGGCGTCACGCCGCGGCGGCGCGGGTGTTTTCAGACCCGCGCGGAAACCTTACCGAGTGGTGGATGCCACCCTCTGCGGGCGCAGACTTTTTGCAGTCTGGGAGGCGAGCGGGGGTGCTGATTTGGTTTGGTCTAAGATCGGATCTGATTTATAAGCCTAGATTTTCCAGATTGGGGTAATCTAAAATTTCCCCCCAAATCTCCATTTACACGAATAGGACTACTATCTGAAAATCTATATATTTTTTAAATAACTTATAGTTTAATATTGCTCTTGATGAGCCAAAGCCAACGATGTTGTAGGTTGAAATTTTATGTGATTTTAAGTCATTAATATTGATATCTGTAGTGATTTGTGATTTCCTAAAAGAGGGAGTTATATCATGTAGGGCACAAGTGCACTAGCTGCTCTTTTGTGTGAAAGATGAACAGCTTTTTAAAAATATGGTATAGAATGTTTATTTTCCAATTCTGCTAGAAGGTTACTCCCAAGTGAAGCTTTAAATTGATTTGTTCCTTAAAAAAAAATGCAAGCAAAAGGGCACTACCTTCCACTTGGCTGGTTTTAGATACCCAAGAAGACCACGATTTTACTTATTTGAACCCCAGGGGTTTGGGGCAGATGGTGCAGTAACTTGTTCCGTCACATAGCTAAGTAGGTAGAGCGTTGAGATCCACGGTAGGTCTGCTAGCAAAGGCTAGGCACGTCCTTGCCACGGTAAGGCCGGCCACAATCCGTACTCTTAAGATAGTAAGAGCCCAAGAGTTGGAAGAGGACCCTGGTGGCTGTTGACCTTTGTATTCTCTGAGGCAAAAGTTCGCTAGGCAAAATGAGCGTGTAAATAAGCTTTGGAGAAGACTTTAAACCTTTGAGAGCGAGTTTCTTATCTTTTAAGATTTTTTAAAAAAATTGTATGTTCAGATAAATTGAGTGACCTTCTGATTTTATTTATTTGTGAAAACAAGATTTTACAAGGCAGGACCTAATTAGTCTAATGCATTGCATAATATAAACTACTTCCACATCTCAAAAACCCCTGTAACTCAGGGTTTTCCCTTTAAAATTAAGCTTTAGTAAAACAGTTTATTTCTTCTTTGAAACCTATTTAGGGATGTTTTCCTGTATTTTCTTTTAAAGTCCAAGGGACATTTAACCCTTTTTTATTTGTTGTGAAATACCCTTTCTCTAGTTATCAAGCTACATGATTTGTATATTACTTGCTGATTCAGATTTTGTTTCTGGAAGTTCTAAATACTCTTGATAGGGGTTTAATTATCTCTTCATTCCTTATACACCAAACTGCTGAGTCATTGACAGTGCAAGATTAACATCTTAAGGGTTTAGAGATTTTTGTTTTTCTGTTCTGCTTATTCTATAAAAAGATGGTTACACACAGAGTGGAAATTCATGTTAAGGATTCTTTGGGCTATATTCTCTGAGTGTACGTGCAGCAGGGCACTTGCTCACTGTCGAGCCCAGTGTGGGAGGGGTCACTTAAAGTCACGTGGGGCTCACTGCTGCCCTACGGAATGTGATTCGTGGCTGAGGCAGCACTTACCCTCCTTTCTCTGTTCTGATTTGATTCCCTCTTGTTTACCTCTGAACACAACTGGGGAAGTCTTTGGCCAAACCAGCAACAGAACTGGAAAATATTCCTCACATTTTCCTTTTCGCTTGTACCTTCTGAGATCAAATTTTTTTCCCCTGAGGAGTTAATATGAGCAGAATAGCAGAATAGCAGAATAGATTCTGTTTACCTCTGATTTATTCTATAGTTCAAGCTGTTGCCTGGCAGCCTAATTGTTTCTGTCATTCTTTTTATCCTTAGATACATTACTATGAAAATGGAGAAGGGAACATTTTATGATGATAATGTTTTACAGTTGTTTTGGTTGGGGTATGCATGATTTCCCTGATGGACCCATTATGTTTAGCTCTTGAGCGTCTCAGTCCAGTAAAGTGTGTGCCTGTTTGCTCTGAAACAGCAGTGTTTAATAATCTAAGTCCCCCACCGCTTCACTTAATGCTGTATCTGCTATTGGTCAGATAGGTTCTATTGTCATAAGCACCTCACAGTGAATATAGTCGTATGAGGAAGAAAATATATTTCTTTTGGAGAGGAATCGTAGGAGCATGTGGTTTTAGAATGTGAAGGAGTTTCAGACATCTCAATTCTAGTTCAACACCTACATTTTGCAGATGGTCTCAATGAGAGCCATAAGATTAAATGAAAAATAAGGCTGGCAACAGGAGTTTAAAGTTGGGGATTCTCCATCATGTAACAGTGGAATACTTGGAATGCAAATGACAGAGAATATATAGCTCAGGATCCTGTAGCACATCCTGGTGAAAGAAGGGTTGAGGGGACCAGCAGTTGGGTGTAATGGCTATGTCACTGGACTCCCATGTAGTCAACCATGGTTCGAGTCCTGGACTCGCTCACTTAAACTCATGCCATGTACGTGTGTGCCCAGGATCCCGAGAGGAGAATGGAGGAGAAGGGATGCTGCCTGGTCATCCCCCATGGGGGGGTGACTTCTCGCTTTCTGTCTGTCTCTGTCTTTCTGTCTCTTTGTCTTGCCCTATAGCAAAAAAGTCTCCATTAAAAAAAAAAAAGAAAAAAGAAAAGAAAAGAAAGAAAGAAAAAAGGGCTGAGGTAAAAGGTTTGTGAGAAGCCAGTGGCTTGAATTATCTAACCAATTGAGTTTATGTTAAAAATCATTTGCCAAAGTCTGTTTTTTTGTTTTGTTTTGTTTTGTCTCCCAGTTATCCCAAGAAGCTTTTAAATGTAAAAACACTCTTTTTTGGGGAGAAGATTTTTGCTATGGGGTGCATAGGTTCCCAGGAGAGAGAGAAAAAAAAAAAAAAGAAAAATGAGAAATCACTCCCCTGGCTGATTTTTGGACTTTGCAAGCAGACCCCACTTGGTGGATCTTGATGTTCTGTTATCTCCCTAGATGTGTGGTGGGACAAATTACTGTACTTTCCACCCCGAAGCCCAGATGTTTAGATACATGGAGGCTATCACAGTAGAGGCAGGAATTGCTTTGGACACTTCGAGGAGCTGGAGGTCAGATGAAAACAATTTTTTAACAAAATGAGCAAATAAATGGAAACTAAAATGTTTTAAGAGTTCAAAGTTGTTGGATTGTGTTCACTTTCTGAGGCAGACTTAATAGTTTTCTTTTTACTATATGATTTAAATATTCATAGCATAGACTTTCTGTTCATCTCATTTACCTTCCTCAGATAGGAGTTAGGGTTCATTTGTGGGACCAGCAGATGGTGTAATGGTTACATCACTGAACTCCCATGTAGTCAACTGTGGTTTGAGTTCTGGACCAATAGCTTAAAACTCACACTGGGTATACATAAGTACCGAGAGTAGGACGGAAGAAAAGGGATTGTGGCGTGGCCATATCCCGTGGGAGGTGATTTCTTGCTTTCTATCTCTCAGGCGAGTGCATGCACCCTATAGCAAAAATATCTCTCCCAAAAATTTTTTTTTAATTACTTTGGGTCTTATTCGTGATGTAAGCTAAGTAAGTGGGGGGCGGGGAAGGAGGAGAGGAACAAAATGAAGTTAAGAATAAGGGCTTGCTTTGGATTAGCATCATCACCTGTTTCTTTTTAAGGTCTGACTATAAAGTTATTTGAAATAGATTACTTGGAATTATGAAGAAATTTTCTTACATTGATTAGCAACGTTAGCCCAATCTTTATTGCATAAAAATGAATGATCCTAATTAATAATTGCAAGATGTGAGCAGATTAATAGCAGACAATTTCTAGGAAGTATATTTTTAAAAATAATTTATTTAATTGTATGTATTCATTTATTTTAATTTGACCACACACACACACACCACAGGGATTGGGGGAAGTGAAAGAGCAAGCCACCAGGTCCAGGACTTGAACCGTGGTCGCCCATGTGGGAGTGTTTAGTGTCTTAAAACCACCACGCCACCTGGTCCCCTTAGTATACTTTTCTACCCAGTTGTCATAGGTTACTAATAAAACTTTGTCCCTTAATAAGTCCTTCCTTGGAATTAAGTTCTCATACCCGAAGTTTTTTGCTGCAGACAATCCAGAATTTTTTTCTTTTTCAAGGATGTTTTGTACAGTGAGGCAAAGAGCTTGGTTCTTGGGTGGTAAAATAATTTACCAGAGAAGAAATACAAGAAATTAGATTTATTGAAGCTTGGGCAGGAGGGTTTCTCTTGCTCTCTTTCTTTTTTTTTTTTTTTTTTTTTTAAGTTTGGCTTACACGGTGTGTGTACTCACCAGAGAGAGAGAGAGGGAGAGTGAGAAATAACCCCTGTTGGGTATGGCCACAGCACAGTCCTCTTCCAGTGTCCTCTTGGGATTTTGGGCATGCATGCATACACACCAAGCATGGTTTTCAAGCCTCAGGGTCCTGGACTCAAACTGTCCAGCTGGCCATGTGGGATCCAATTCCTTAACCTCCACACTACCTACTGAGGGTGTTCTTTTTTAAAGCCTTATGGGAGACGTAATGAAAACTGCAAGCTTGGTCCCGATTGGGAGGGGCTGGCTGTATCTCAGGAATGTGGAATGTCTGTCAGCAACAGGGAGGTGGTGGCAGGAGAAGGGATCCAGAATTTTTCCCGTCATAAAAATTATGGGGGAGAGGTCGGCAGGTGGCACGGTGAAGAGCGTTTGACTCCCACATGGCTGATCTGGTGGAGTCCTGGACCTGGCAGTTTGCTTTCTCACTCCTCCCCTCCTCTCTCTCACTCTGTCCCTCTC